CCAACAACATCAACGAAACGCTTAATATTACCCAGGTGGACTAGAATCCTTGTCGCCGTTGCTGGGCGCAGCTCGGAAACCAATCGAAACGTAAATTCAAGTCAAAGTGATATACCGCTCGGGTGAATTTCTAATCAGAGAATTGACACGTCGCTTGCGTGTGCCGTTCTTCTAATCAGAGAATCGGCACGTCGCTTGCTTGCGCCGTTCTTCTAATCAGAGAATCGACGCGTCTCGCGCTTGCTCCGTCTTTCAATCGGAGACGCAGGCCGCCAACTTCGCCGCAGGCTTGCGTTTCCGCTGTTGGAGCAAAAGCGGGATCGAAGGAAGGATGTGGAGGAATACTAGCAAGCTAATGGTGAGGAGGAGGGCGACGAGGAAGAAGAGGAGGAGGAGGAACATGAGGAGGAAGAGGAGTAAGAGACCGCAGAAGCGGACGCGAGGCACGGGCCCGCTCCGCGGCAAACGCAGAGGGCCCCATGCTGCGTTTTTGATTCACCCCCGGTATGTTTCACCAATGGGGATAGGAGAAGCAGGCCGCCACTTTCGCAGCAGGCTTGCGTTTCCGCCGCTGGAGCAAAAGCGGGATCGAAGGAAGGATGTGGAGGAAGACTAGCAAGCGAATGGTGAGAGGGAGGAGGAGGGCGACGAGGAAGAAGAGGAGGAGGAAAAACATGAGCAGGAGGATGAGAAAGAGGAGGAAGAGACCGCAGAAGCGGACGCGAGGCACGGGCCCGCTCCGCGGCAAACGAAGAGGGCCCCATGCTGCGTTTTTGCTTCACCTCGATTATGTTTCACCAAGGGGGGGCGCGCGGCAGGGGCATGGGGCGCCCCCCCCCCAAGAGGGCCCGACTGATGAGGGGAGGGTTGGGCGAAGGAAAACCAGGAGGGGGGGGGGGAGGTTGGCGCCCACGCGGCGTGAGGAGAGGGCTCACCATGCGAGGTGGTGGGCCGCAGCGTGGCGCTAGGCGTTGCGGCTGCGTAACTCCAGTTCAGCGGCGTGAAGAGACATGGCGTTGCCTCCGTTTTCCTAACCCTCCATATATACTTCCACTCTCAATTCTTCCATATATATATATATATATATATATATATATATATGTGTGTGGCCATCTATATATGTCCTCGCCCCATCCCTTACGACTGTGTGTTCCTCGACCCACGGGGAAGATGGGAACGTTCCCGAAATGGTCGGTCTGCGACAACCGTGAACCGCGCTGACACCGCGTGAAAAGACATGGCGTTGCCTCCCTTCCGTAACCCTTTTTCTTCCATTCCCAAATATTCCATGCGCGCCCATCCTCGCCCCGCCCCTTAGGAATCCCCCCGAAAGGCTCGGGGGGGAGGGGGAGGGGGAGGGGGGGAAGGAGGAGGAGGAAGGGGGGGAGAGGAATTCCCTGGCCGCGGCCTGACGCACACGTCGGCGCCGCGTGCGCGGCTACCCTGCCGGGTCGAGGCAGTGTTCCCGCATGTTGCTTGGAATTCGTTCTTGCCGCCCATATGAGAAATATTCTGTATATATATATATATATATATATATATATATATATACATATGCGTGTGCTTCACAGCACAAGCGAGTGTTATCCAGACGACGGAACGTCTGCAGTTCTGTTTGCCTCTCGCAGCTCGCACTGCCCCCCTTGCCCTCTCAACAAAAAGACAAAACCAAACAAATCAACAAACAACAAGCACAAACAGCACGAAACAAAAGAGAGAACAAAAACACGCAGGATCCCGCAAATGGCTCCTGAAGGCCCCCGCAATGGCTCCAAAGGCTCCAACGAGAGGAGAAACACAAACGTCTCGAGAATGCACATTTCTCCTCCTCGGCGCATCCGCGTTGAATGTTGCCACCCGGGCGCCGCCGTTGCTCGACGAGGCCTTGTCGCAAAGACTGCTTCCACTTGCTTGACGAATTGCGCTATGGAAAACACGCCCCCCCTGCATTCCTCTTCGCAGAATACGCGTGTACTATATACTAGTAGCATTACTACGAGTAAACATGTATGCGACGACTATGGACGGCGCACGTCTGAATATGTTTTCTGTCCCTCGGGGTGCCCCTTTCGTTTCAATGCGAATGGGATGCAAGATGCGCATCCTGCGCACCTGGCAACGTGCCGCGCGTGATCACTGATCAGACGCACTGCCTTCTACAAAGAAAGACAATGCCCGCGGCCCCAAAGGCCCCCGCAAAGGCTCCAACAGGTTCCCACCCCAAAAGCCCGCGCAAAGGCTCCAAGGGACCACTGCTCGAAAAGCTCTCGCAAGGCTCCAAAGGCTCCAACTACTACAACCCACTCCAGCCACAACAACCGTTTTCTCAAACTGTGTTGGATTAGCTCTGTTTTGTTATATCTAGATACAACGGTTACAACAGCAACATACTGTTTGCATTATCTTGGTTGTTTTGAACTATCATAAGTGTGTTGGCATGTTGTCTTGAGTTTTTCGCGATGTCGTGAGTTTTCTCTGGCGTCGTGACTTAAACTCATGACGTTTCAAGACGTCGCGAATTTCTCACAACGCTGGAGGTCTGGGTTCGGGGGCGTCACGGCCCGCGCCCGCGCGGTCCACGTCTGGGGCGACGGCGACGAAGCACGGCCATTGGGGGGCCCTCCTCCACTGGGCCAGCCGCGCACAGGGCCGCGCGGGCCGCGCCAGCTCAGGCGCGAAGCGGGCCGACCGATCCTCGACGAGGTTTACTTGGACCCGGAGGAGGGGGCCCTGGCACTCGACCCGCGGATGTCGATCTCCGGGGAGCGCGCCACGCCGAGGCCTCGCGGGACTGGGCAACCCGTGGGGGCCGGGTGCCCCCAGCGCGCGGCGGTGCACGACCCGCGCGGCCCTTGCCGCGCGGCTAGGGCCAAGCACGATCCGCTGCGAGGATGCTCCAGGACCTTGGTCCTCGAAGAATCGTGCGGAGGCTGGAAGGTGAGGGCCCTGCACCCGAATGAGATCTGGTGCGCCCAGGGGGGCATGGCCGAGCCCTGGGACACGCTGGGTCTGGGTGGCGCCACGGTGCCCGGTCGCATGCGGGAGGCGGCACGGGCGTTACCTCGCCGGGCCGCGCGTTGGGTGACCCGGCGGGCCGAGCGCCCCCTGCGCCATGCGGAGCAGGCCGCGAGCGGCGACGCAGCGCCCGGCGCTCGTGTTGGAGCGGGGCCGGACCGCGACCGGGGATAGCCAACGACGACTTCGCGCGGCTATGGTTGAGGGCGTGGCGGCGAGCCCCTATGAAGCAGCTCTGGAGGCGATGAAGGCGCCCGCGGGCGCGGACGCGCTGGCGGACCTTCTGGACCCGCTGGGCGCGGTGCGCGCCGAAGGGGCACGAGCGAGGGCAGTCGCGTTCGTCGACCCGCCCGATCCCGAGCGGCCAAAGCTCAGCGCGCGAGAGGGGGAGGCCTCAGCCCCCGCTCGGCCCGCAAGTGGCGATTGCGTGCCCAGAGCGCCCCCGCGTCAGCGTTGGTGAAGCCCGCGGCCTGGCGGCGTGGCGGGCCACCCCCCTGGGCGCTCTCGCGCGGGGGGCTCGCCGACGCTCGATGGGCGCGACGGCGATTGAGGCGGCGCATGCTGGGCTGGCCGAAGCAACCCGCGAGAACTACAGCGCGGGGCGGCGCCCTTGGACGATGTGGCGGAGGCTTCGGGGCTTCGGCCCGCGCCTCCAGGGAGAGACGCGGGGCGCCCGTCTCGCGGGCGAAGATGACCTCATCCGGTTCGTCATCTACTTGTACAGGATGATGAAGAGGCGCGCCACGACCAGCGCGCCGCTGCGCCCGTGCGTCGGCGGGCTTCGGCGACGCGACGTCGGGCAGGCGGCGGCTCTGGACCGCTATCGAAGGGCTCCGCCGGCGGGGCGGCAAGGCGAGGCGAAAATTGCCAACCACGCCGCGCATGCTGCAATGGCTGCAGGAGTACTTGCTCGCGCATGGGGCCACCAGCTTCCGGGGGGCCACCGTCGCCCGGGCGGCGCTGATGACCGGGCATTTCTTCATGCCCCGAGCGTCGGAGCACTTGGTCCAAGAGGACCGCTCCTGGAGCTCGGGTTGGGCGGCGCGTGGCCAGGGCGTCCGCGGCCTCCGCGAGGGGGCGCCCGGCGCGCGGCTGGGCGACTGCAACGAGGTGGTCCTCGCGATCATCGAAGACCGACTAGTTCAACGCGGGAAGCTCGAGAAACCGCTTCCGCTCGGGTCGCCCCCGAGCTCCAGAGGGAGCCGCCGAAGCGCGTCGACCGGGGCGGCGAGGCCGGCCCCCCTCTTTTTAGGAGGTCGGATGGACGCCCAATTTCGCGCGACGAGATCCAGGGGGCCCCTCAATTGGCCGCCTCGGCCTGCGGAGTGGACGGGGCCCAGATGGGCCCACATTCGCTGGGGATCGGGGGCGCGACGGCGCGGCGCGCTGCCGCGCCTGTCGCGACCTCGAGGCGGCGAAGAGGTTTGGGGGGTGGTCTACTGACGCCTTCCATGGGCACCTCTGGGAGGACCACCGCCGCCGAGCGCCCTTCGCGCCAGGCACGACGCACGCGGCGAAGGGGCCGACCTCAGTGCTGAGGTCGCCCAGGCGCCGCACCCACGCGCGCGGCTGGCGCGGGGCCCCGAGCGGCGCCCCTGGGCGCGCTCCTAACCCGAGTGGGCGCCACTGTCGCGGGCGCCGAACGGGGGCGGCACGCAGGGCTGCACAGGCCACCGTCGGAGGAGGGTTGCACGGCGAAGCGCGGGTCTCGGGGTCTCGGGGGCCGTCGCGCCGCGGCAGTGCTTACGCCGACTTCTCGCCCTCAGCCTCCGACCCCTGGCCCCTGGACGCCCCGCCTCCCTCGCCCGACCTGCTCGCGCGCCCCCCCTCTGACGCTCGCCGGGCCTGGCGCCCCCGCGGCTACGCGCGGGGGGGGGGCGGCGAGGCAGGCCCGGCCGAGGGCCCGCGCCCCCCGCGCAGCCCACCGCGGGACACAGGGCAGGCCACGCAGGACGATCACCGAGCTCGGCAGCGGCTGTCACCCCATGCCGAAGCTGGCCGCCAGGGCCGGCCACGGCTCGCGTTCGCAGCATCGCCATCGGGCGAGCGCACAGCGCCGCGCGCGGGGAGCCAGCACAGCGCGCGGCTGGACCACGAAGCAGGAGGCCAACACTCCCGAGGCGCCACGTGGGCAGGGCAACAGGGCGAGGTCGGCGGCCCACGGCCCCCGCGCAGCCCGCCCCCGGCCTCGATGAGGATCGAGCGGGATGTCCGTCGTTCACGCTCGAGTCGTCCGGCAGCGCAGGCGCCTGTCGACGCCATGGCGAATCGCCGCCCACACTCGCAGCGCCGCAGGAGGGCCGCGCGCGGGGGGCCAACCCAGCGCGCGGCGGAACGGCGGTGAGCGCCCCCGACGACGCCCGCGGCACCAGGGCGAGGGGCAGGTCAGCGGGGCGCCGCGGGCGCTCGGGCGGAGACGCCAGCGCCCCGCGGCCGAGGGAGGAGGCGTCGAGGAGCTCCGTAGCCGCCGACGCCTCCCCTCGGGCGCCAGCCCCTGGCACGAGACAGGTGGCGGCGCCGCGGAGGGTCACCAAGCAAGAAATCAAGCGGGGGGAGTTGATCCGGATCTCGCAGGTCCTGCCATCCGCGGGCGCGGCCGAGGTGCACGAGGTGGCGGGCGAGTTCGGGGCGGCGCAGCACGTCGCATTCTTGCTCGACGCCAGGCACAAGAGGGGGCCTCTGGCCCCATCGGGGCCCACGAAGCATCGCCGCGCGTCTGCAGCGCTCGAGGCCGTGAACGACGAGAACCGCTTCTTCCCGGAGAACAGGGGCCCGCCAGCGAGGTGCCACTGAGGTTCGGCGCCCCGGAGCCCTGACGGCGGGCCCGACGGGGAGGGCCCTCGCCGGCTTACGGGCCCCGTGCGCCGGCCCTGCGAGGGCGCGGCGCCGATTGCGATGCGCTGGGCGACCGTCGCGCACAAGCGAGGCGCCCCGTGGTCATGCGCGCGGCGCCCCGCCTGCGGGAACAACGCGGGCCCGCTGAAGTGGCGCTGCAGGGCGCGCGACAGGTCGACGCGCGCGGCCCGCCGCGCAGACGCCGAGTCTGCTGCAGGAGACGACTCGGAGCGGAGCGATGGCAATCCAAGCCCTCGCGAGGGCTCGCCGCGCTCCCCGAGCCAGCCGCCCAGCCCGCGCGAGGGCCGCGCGGGCGGGGGCGGCCCTTCGCGTTCCCCGAGCGGGCCCCCGCCCAGCCCGCGCCCGGGTCGCGCGGGCGGGGCCTCCGCCGCCGCTGCCGGCTCGGGCAGAGGCCGGGCGCGCGCCAGTGCCCCCCCCCCCGAGCAGGACGAGGAGGCCGGACGGCCGCCTGCGAGCCCCCCGGGGGTGGGGGGGCCGAGCAGGAGAAGCGTCGCCGGCGCGCCGGGCAGAGGGCCGAGCCCGAGGGCAAGGGGGCCACCAGCAAGGCGAAGGGCACGGACTTCTGCAATGGCAAAGGGGGGCTCGAAGTGCTCCATGGACAAGGGCAGGCAAGCGCTACGAGGACGGCCAGGGCGGCCAGAACGGCAAGGACCGTCGGGCCGACTGGGACGGCAAGGGCAGCAATTGCGGCAAGGGCCGCCGTGCTGACGGGGGCGGCAAGGGCGGCCCGCTGAGCGAGGGCCCACGCGACGCGTCGCTCTAAGTCCGAGGCCGCCTTCTTTCTTGCATCGCCTCTGCGATGCCCGCCCGCGCCTCGCAGGCGCGGCCGACGGGGTGGCCCCGCGGGCTGCGTCGCGCAGCCGCGGGGGGGGGGCCCAGCCAGGGCGGCTTGGCGCCGCGCCCAGGGGGGGCCCGAGGATGGGGCTAGTAGCGCCGCCCGCTCGCGCGCTCTGCGGGCTGCGTCTGCGTTTCTCTTCTCGGCGTTGGCCGGGCGGCCGCGAGCGCGCCAAAACGCGCCCGCGCGCATGCGCGAGCATGGCGCACGCGCGGGTGCGGACGCAAGGCTTTGCCAAGAGAGCGCCACCTTTTGTTTTTTCCTCTTTCTCTCTCTCTCTCTCTCTCTCTCTCTCTCTCTCTTCTCTCTCTCTCTCTCTCTCTCTCTCTCTCTCTCTCTCTCTCTCTCTCTCTCTCTCTCTCTCTCTCTCTCTCTCTCTCTCTCTCTCTCTCTCTCTCTCCCCTCTGCTGCCTCCTTCCTCTTCCTCCTTCTCCTCCTCCTCCCCCTCCTCCCCCTCTTCCTCCTCCTGTGCAGTTTTCAGAACGGGAAGCAATGAGCGAAAAGAGAGCGTCCGCACGGCGACCTTTGTCTGCCGCCGCCCTTGCTCAAGCTGGCACCCCTCAGACCTCGGGGAGAGGACCAGCGCACGCAGGCCGCTGCTCGCGCGGCGGTGGCGGAGCTGGCCCGGGGGCTGTCCACAGGGGTGGTGTTGCGGGCATCCTCAGCGCCCTGCCCGCCCTGCAGCTGCGCACCCGCTTTGAGCTGCCCTGCCTGTCCCGACTGCCACCTCGAGTGCGGCCCGGGCAGCATCGTCAGCTCTCCTCGGCAGGTGCCGGTCTACTTCGTGCTCTTCTCCTACGTGCTGGCGGCCCTCGTGGGCGGCCTCTTCGGCTTCATCGGCGGGGCGCTTTGGTGCCCAGGGCTGTCCGCGGCCGGGCGGGGCCCGGCTCCCGCTGCGCAGCGGGGCAGCGGGGCGCGCACCGTGGCCGCGGCGACGTCAGGTGGGGAGGAGCTGCAGCTGGCGACGGAGGCGCGGGAGCAGCTCGCCCTGCTACGACGTCGTTAGTATGGCGGTGGCGGCTGCGGCCGCTGCGGCGCCTGCGGGCGCGCCTCACCAGCTCATCGGCAGCCGCGGCCTGAACGAGGGCGACTTCATCCTGCTGCTGCACAGCGTTGCGGGACGCCGCATATGGCACGAACGGATGGTCGTCTACCTCCCGCCGGGGGGCGTCACCGCGATGACGACGCTGACCCCGGACGACGACTCGTATGAGGAGGACGTCGCCCCTGGTGGGGACGTGCTGCGCTGGGGGCGCCTCCCCAACGGCATCATCGGCGGCGCGGCTGGCTTCGTGGCAGGGGACCGCGCGTGCCGCTTCCGCCACCCTCCGATGCCGGCCGCCGCTGGCGCCCTTCGTGATGCTGCTGCCCTGCGGCTCGGCTTTCCTGCCCCTGGCCTCCGGCTGGCGCCCAACGCTGGTGCCGCCCGCGGCGTGGCGCCTGCTCCCGCCCCAGACGGCGGTGGAGCGGCGCCTGGCGCGCCTGGGGGCGGAGGCTTGGCTGGGCCGGTAGCGGCCCTGGGCGGCCCGGGTGCTGGCCCCGCGGCGGCTGCCGGCGCTCTGGTACCTGGTGGCGGGGCGCTGCCTGCGGCTGGAGGCGCGGCGCCTGCGGCGGGCGCCCCCGCTGGCGCGGCTGCAGCTGGCGCCTTGGTGCCAGCGGCCCCAGCACCAGCGGTGCCTCCAGCGCCCCCGGCGCTCCTTGCGGCTGCCGCCCCCGCTGGAGCCGCGCCCGCCTTGCCCGACATCGGGGGAGCCTCTGGGCTGCCGGTGGGCTCGCCAGGCGACGCTCGCATCCTCGGCATCACCACCGATGCTCGCGGGCAGAGGTACAAGGACTTCAGGGGCGCGGTCAACGGTATGACGCAGAACACCTACCCTGACTGGCCTATCAGAGGGCCGAGGACGGCCTGGTGGGTGTGCCGCTTCATGCTGGCCAGTTAACGGGGGCTCCCCTTTGGCTCGGCGTAGCCGCTGTCGCACGGTCTGTCTCTCGGGCGCCTCGGACCAGGGAGTCCCCGAGCACGAGCAGGCGCGCCGCTTGCTGGAGACCTCGGCGCGCCACGACCAGGTCAACGTTCCAGACGTGGCGGCGGCGGAGCTGGCCGCCCGGAGCTTGCAGCTCATCGAGGAGAAGTACAGGGATCGGTTGTCCGGGAACGCCCACACGGAGGCGGCCGACAGCCATCTCTACTATGGCACGGACATGGTGAGAGGAAATTGCTGTGTCTGCCCATTGCTGCAGGAGTGGATCAGCGCTGAGTTGGGCAGGGAGTGCGCTGCGTTGACAGAGCGCCGGAAGGCCCGGGAGGAGAGGCTGCTCGCTCGACCGAAGGGCGGGCCTAAGAAGCCCGGCGATCCCAAGGGCCCCGGCGCCGACAATGCCTGACTACACCTTCGGCGGCTCAGGGGGCGCCGCCGATGCCGAAAAGTCCACCCGTGAGCTTTGGCGGCAGCGTGACATTCCGCCCCTCCCTTCTGTCCTCAGACGACCCCGGGCGGCGCCGACAGGGCGAGAGGTCCGCAGCACCGTCCGCCGTCGCAGAATGGCCACTGCCTCACTTGACTGGGCAGATGATGCGGTTCAGAGTTTAAATGATCTGTATGGATGCCCGACGGTCTTGGCTGGCCCACCTGGGGCTTTCGTTGGTCGTCCTGCCGATGCCGACCCGCCTGGCCTTTATCTTCCCTCTCCTTCCTCCTCTCCTGCTAACGCTGGCCAGGCTCAGGCTCTAGAGCACATCACCAGTCGGTGCGTCCAGGTTGGGCCCCCGCCAGGTGACTTTTCGCATGGCAAGGAAGCCCTCAGCGAGCTTCTTGCCGGGTCCTCGGCTTATTCCTCCGACCAGGGCCCCCGCCGCCCGTTTGTCAAGGACCTCGCGTCCTGGCCTGAGCTTGGAGCGAAGCCGATTCCTTTGGCAGAAGCTCTGAGCCCAGCCGATCGATTGCGGCTCGGCGGCTGGCGCGATAATTTGCTGAGAACTGAGCAGGAGGCCGCCATCTTACAGCTGGAGGCCTGCCCGCACTGTGTTTTTGTTGATAGCGCGCTGAAGCAGCAGCCCTCCACCTATGCAGAGTTTCTCCTGCGTCTTTTTCAGTGTGGAATGCTTAGGTGGGAGGTGGCAGCCGGGCGTAATGGGAAACTGAGATGTTTTTTGTTCCAACCCTCCTGCGTTGGGTACTCGTTTTTCCCCATATCCTAAGATGGGGTTATTGTTATTACTTGGACGCCTCCTACTCCTCCTCCTCATCCTCCTCCTCCTCCTTCCTCTTCCTCTTTTCTCCTCCCCTCCTGTCGGACATACTCAGACTTGCTCATACACAGACTTACTCATACTCAGACTTACTCATACTCAGACCTACTCATGCTCAGACTTACTCACACTCAGACATACTCATATACAGACTTACTCATACACAGACTTACTCATACACAGTATTAGTCATACCCAGACGTACACATCAGCACCCCTAAGGGGGGCCGCCAGGGGTGGTTGCACGGGCTCGTTCGCGGCCATTTTGTGGGGAGGTCTCAGGCGGTTTGCCTGTTTCTGTGCCCAACATCCTTCGCTTTCGGAGCAGATTTGGAGGATGTCTCGAGCGGGGCGCTCATTTCAGCACCCCTAAGGGGAGCCGCCAGGGGTGGTTGCACGGGCTCGTTCGCTGCCATTTTGTGGGGATGTCTCAGGCGGTTTGCCTGTTTCTGTGCCCAACATCCTTCGCTTTCGGAGCAGATTTGGAGGATGTCTCGAGCGAGGCGCTCATTTCAGCACCCCTAAGGGGAGCCGCCAGGGGTGGTTGCACGGGCTCGTTCGCGGCCATTGTGTGGGGATGTCTCAGGCGGTTTGCCTGTTTCTGTGCCCAACATCTTTCGCTTTCGGAGCAGATTTGGAGGATGTCTCGAGCGAGGCGCTCATTTCAGCACCCCTAAGGGGAGCCGCCAGGGGTGGTTGCACGGGCTCGTTCGCGGCCATTTTGCGGGGATGTCTCAGGCGGTTTGCCTGCTTCTGTGCCCGACATCCTTCGCTTTCGGAGCAGATTTGGAGGATGTCTCGAGCGAGGCGCTCAGTTTCACACCCCAGGTGGGCCAGATTTTGAGGATGTCTCGATCGGTTTGCTAGTTTTGGTGGCCAGGCTCGTGGGCGCAGATTCTTCTCAGGGTGCCACAGGAGGCTCCAACAGGCTCCAGGAGGCTCCAGGAGACCACATGAGGTCCCAGGAGGCATCAGGAGGCAACAGCAAGATTCAAGAGCCCACAGGATTCCCCAAGAGGCTCCAGGAGGCCCCAGGAAGCTCCAGAAGGCTTCAGGAAACCACAGGAGACCCCAGGAGACAACAGGAAGCGCCAGGAGGCCTCGGAAGGCAACAGGAGGCCCCGAGAGGCCCCAGGAGCAGGAGGCCTCAGAAGGCAACAGGAGTGGCTCCAATCCCATGTGTTTTACGTATGCTCCTATCGATTGGGCCTCACCTGGAGCACGATTCTTTGATGTTCTACGCATGTTTCTATAGATGGTCCTTCTCCTGTGTACACAATCCTAAATGTTTTACTCATGTTCCTATGTATTGGGCCTCTCCTGGGGCACGAGTCCTTGGTGTTTTACGCGTGTTCCTATAGATTGCCCTTCTCCTGTGGCTCTAATCCCCTCCGTAGCCATTTTGGCTCAAGACCCAATGCTTGGGGGGCTGCAAGCCTCCTGGCAAACACGGGATAGCTCTGTTTCCCGAGCTCGACCTTCAGCGGCGCGCGCGGCTCCCCTCGTTTTGGCACTTATAACACTGAGTGTGTCTCGGCCATGGCACCCCAGTGGCAGTGCGTTTGTGGTGAGTACCACGCCGCCGACCGCACTCGGTGCTCGAAGGCGGGGTGCGGAGGAATGCGACCTCGCTTCCCTCGCGGAGCAGGGCAGCCCTGGCACCAGCCGCGGCAGCTCCGTCAGCCTCCGTCTCGGGGCAAGTGGGCCGACGCACCGCCGAGCAACCAGTGGGGGCACAACGGCAAGCTCTTCAAGGGTAAGAGTGCTGGCGGAGACAAGAGTTCCTCTGGCACCACCCTCAGTGCGGAGGAGGTCAAGGTCTGGGCCACCTTCACGCAGGAGACGTGGGACGCGACAAAGCACACCCTCACGCAGTCCTCGCGGGGCAAGGTGGATGCTGCTCGCCGTGCCCATGCTCTCGGCCTGGTGGGGAAGTCGGCGCCCCAGAAGGTGGACGGGCTGGCTCGACAGCTGGCAGACGCTCAGGATCGGCTTAAGCGTGAAACTGAGGTGGCTCGCAAGGCGCTGGAGCAGGTGCACGCCTCCAAGGAGACCATCGCGCAGCTGCAGCAAGAGCTCGCGGAGGCCAAGCGCGAGGCAGCCGCGCTCTACGGCGGAGGCATCAGCCCTGACGCAATCAAGGAGAAGCTCGGCTCGCTCAACACCGACGGAGTCTCAGGCCAGGACCTCCTCGAGCAGCTGTCCAAGATGGTCAACGAGCTCGCTGAGGAGGCGAAGGCAGCTCGCCCGCAGGGAGGCGCGCCCGCTGCTGCAGGTGGAGCAGCGCCTGGCCCCGAGCCAGCTCCAACTCAGCCTGGCGGAGCAGGGGCCGCAGGGGCGCCAGCAGCGGGGGCCGCGCCTGCCGAGAGCGGCGTCGACTTCGACGACTTCCTGGGCGAAGAAGACCCTGGGGGGCTTCTTGGCGGCTGCGGCGACGACGACGAGCAGCGCAAGAGGATCCGCGATGCCCTGGAGGTCCTGCGCTCTGTCAAGAAGCCGCGGACCTCAGGGTAGCTACCCTAGCGGGCGATGGTGGACAGCTCTCTCCATCAACGCCAACGCTTATAGCAGGTTCGAGAGCATCCTCGGCTACGAGAGCCTCAGGAGCTGCGACCTCATCGCAGTCCAGGAGACGCACCTGTCCCAGGAGAGGTGCTACGAGGTCACCGGCAAGCTGCAGAGGCTGGGATGGCATGCGGTGGCCACCCCTGCTACCGACGTCTTTGCGGGACACGCAGGGCACGGTGGTCTCCTGCAGTTGGCTCCGAGGTCTTCGGGCCTTGGCGAGTTCGAGGCGGGGCAGCCGACAGTGCTCACGCCAGGCCGCGCGGCAGTCGCGCATGTGGCGGGTCCCTTTCCTGGGGGCCTGGCATGGATCAACGTCTACTTGAAGGTTGGCGAAGGCCTCTCGGCCTACAACCTCGGCATCCTCGACGGCATCGCGATGGCGATTCGGGCCATCGGCAAGCCCTTCGTGATCGCGGGGGACTTCAATATGGAGCCTCACGAGCTGCAGTGCTCAGGCTTCCTTGAGCGCGTCGGAGGCAGAGTGGTATCACCAACGGACGGCACCATCAGGCCGTCTGGCAGAGTGATCGACTACTTCGTCATCTCTCACGTGATCTCCGAAGCTCGTGCAGAGATCAAGCTTGGATGGGACATTGCGCCCCACTTCCCTGTTGAGCTCAAGTTCAACGCCAGCTCTGTCAACAGGTACATGCAGGTCATGAAGGTGCCGAAGAAGTTCCCGTACCCTTTACCCAAGGCGTGCTGCACCGAGGACCACTCCCAGAGGTGGGCGGTGGCGCGCGGCCGTATGGCGGTGTCCCCCTCGCTGGACGACATGTGGCAGATCTTTATCCATTGCGCGGAGCGGTACCTGCTGGATGCCATTGGCCTCAAGCACGCGCACTACGAGTTCGCTGGACGAGAGCGGCGCCCCTGGCTGGCAAGGGTCAAAGCGCTGAAACCAACGGCGCCCAGGCTGCCGAGGGTGGCCATCACCGCGTCGTGGTGCAAGAGCGTGGCCATCGCGCTCAAGGATGCCGCTCAGACTGACCTCGAGCTGAAAAGGCACACGGCGCTGAAGGCGCTCGATCGCTTGTGCAGTGCGCAGCCTGATTTCGAGTCCGACACCAGGCAGGAGACGACGCAGGCCCACATCACTTTGCTGGGCTTTGCGCAGGCGGCGCAGTCCATGGATCTGCCCCAGCTGCAGGTAGCGAGCTTCATCGCCGCCACCATGGCGGACAAGCTGGTGCAGCGGGACGCGGACAAGGCGAAAGCCTGCTTCGCGGACTGGGTCGCCGAGAACCACGCTCGAGGAACGGGGGCCCTCCACTCCTGGACCAAACCTCCGCAGGGCTGGCAAGCCAGGATCACTGGCGGCCCAGGGAGCGAGCCTCGTACGCTTTCCCAGACAGTCCAAGCCCTGGTGAAGGAGTGGTCAGGGTATTGGGGGGTAGGGGCCCCCACGCCGCTGGGGAGTGAGCTCGCACTGGAGCCGCTCGAGTGGCCGCACGACCTCGGAGAGCGACCTGCCCGACCAACGGTGAGCGAGATCAGGGAGGTCATCGCCATTTTCAGGGACTCCAGCGGCTCATCATTCGACGCGCTGCGGCCGCACGAGCTGGGT